TAGTATTTCCAGGAAACATTTTTTTTTTTTTAATTCAAAACTACTCTGGATATTGGAGACTTTGCATCCAAAGATTCTCTTTAATTTCTTTTTTTGAATTTCAGCACTGATCCATTAACTTATCAGGGATAATGGAGAGCATGTTCCTTCTTGTGTAACTGTGCTAATGTATTGCATTTATCAGATTTGGTAATTTTCTGTTTACAGGAAGCCAACATTTACCAGTCATTAGTCTTTATCCTTTTCATCCTTTGCAGCAAGGAGTGATCTGTATTTTCTCCAGTGGAGCCACTGAGATTTGTAAGCCATACAGCCTTGAATCTGATATTATTCACAATGGGAGCACTCTCTCTCAAATTAACTTATTGCAGAGAAATGTAAATCAATTATGTTTACAGCTCTCAACAAACAGAATTAAAATGTTCCACCAGTCTGTTTCGAATTCCTAATCATTTTTGTGATTAACCCAATGTCTGGGATTTGCAAGAGAGTAGGAGATGAATTGGTTTCTCTTCATTATCTGACACAGTTCAGTTATTCCTGAGGTGTCCTGAAGAAACAAGCAGCCAAGAAAATTCCCCTTAAATAGTTAGCCATGAGGAAATGGTTAACACCCGCTGGCATTCCTCAGGATCACTGTGCCAGTCAGAAGGTCATGCTCTTGAGATGGCAAATGAAGCAAATTGAATCCCAGGCCAAGAATGAGCACACAACCAGCCTGGCAAGGCCAGCCTGCTCATGCACTGTGAGAGAAGGCAAGAGAATTGGGTGCATGATAGACAGAAATGCAACTTTGGAAAATAACAAGCAGCATCCAAAAATGTGAAGCTCAAAGCACCACGCATCTCCCCACCATAACATTTCAACACTGTGCTCTGCAGCAGCCATCTCCCATTAATTTCATTTCATTTAGACCAGTACAAAAAGAAGGTTTTGATTATCCCTGGGATCTGTCTGCTTTTGCAATCACATTAAAAGCTAATCCCTCAGTGTATGTTTGATTGTCTCCTGGCTCTGAAGAGCCTTTTGGGGCAGGAGAGGTCTGCCTAAAGATCCTGCTCCCTTCTGGCAGCCATCAGGGCTTGCATCCAGGCTCCCCATCCCTCTCCTGGGGAGAGCAGGGATGTCCTTGGGGACACCTTGTTGCTCTCTACAACAATTTCAAAGAAGGTTGTAGTGAGATGGAGGTCAATCTCTTCTCTCAAGTAACAAGCAACAGGATGAGAGGAAATGGCCTCAGGTTCTGCCAAGAGAGATTTAGATGAGATATTATGAAAAATTTCTTCAGGGAAAGTGTTAAACACTGGAACAGCCTGACCAGGGAAGTGGTGGAGTCACCATCCCTGTGGGTATTTAATGGATGTACAGATGTGGTACTTACAGACACGGTCTTTAAGGTCTTTTCCAACCTAAACTACTCTATGATTCTATGATTCCATTTCTGAAGGACATGTGTCTTTCAGATATGCCCAAAAAAAAAAAAAAAACCCAAAAAAATAACACCCAGGGCTGGAGCATTTTATGTTTTTGTACAGTAAGACACCACCATTTTTAACATAATCACTTTTGTCTTCCCAGCACACACGTGAAGCAGAATCTGCCCCATCAGACAGAGGAGAGGCTCTGGTAGTCTGAGCATGTGACAGCTCCCTATGTAATATTCCAAAGAAGTGCATTAATTCAGGAGAATCCAGTCTGCTCATACTGCCCAAAAGCTCAGACAACTTTTTTGAGATGCATTGGCTGGGTCAGCTCTGCACAAAACAACAGCCTGAGCTGCCAGGCAGACTGTGCTCACTCTACCTCATGAAGAATTTGGCCAGCTGGGAGGGAAAGGAGCAGCCCCCAGCCAGAGAAGAGATGAGCCTCCACAGCTGCAGGAGCCCAGCTCCTCCTGCTCTCCAGATGTGCAGACTGTGTGTGTCTCCTCCTGCTCTCCAGATGTGCAGGCTCCCATGGGACAGGCTCTGCACTAAAGCACCATTGCACACAGCAGGAGCAATGCTCTTACAAAGAGCTTGCTGTACTCAGCAGCTTCATCCATCCCTGGATTTCAACAGCCCAGATCCTTCACATCCTTATGTAAATCTCTGCTCAGTCTAGACTGACTTACGCAAAAGCCTGCACTGATTTCTACAAATCCAGCATTTAGTGGCTTGACACACTGATAAAATATCACATTTTTTATTCCAACCTTATAATCAGAAAGTCAGAATTACAGTAAATGGAATCTTTTCTATCCTCTGTTTTAAAAGGTCTAATTATTTTATTATTCAGTGTATGTACACGCGGATAAGTAATAATTATTCAGAGTATTATCCTGCATAATAGAGCCAGTTAATGCTCAGAGATAATAGCACAGAGACAGCTCATTATACCAATTTGTACAAAAATAACATAATTATTTTCTTCTTCTGAACAAACTTGTTCTGGTGTGATAAGAACAAGTTTCAATCACTTCTTTATTTGCTGAAAGATTAAACGCTATGCAGCCAGTAAAGTGATTATTATTTTCATGATGAATCATCATGTGCAACGAGGAATTAGCCATCCAAAGGATTTGAAGACAAACTCATACAAGGCTACATTAAAATAAGGATGGTCCTGAAATTATTGCACGTATGTTTCTAAACAGCCTTCTTACCAGAAATATCACTTAGGAGTTCATCCTGCTAACAGCTGAGAAAACTCAGATGAGTATGGAGAGGCAGAAATGGTGATGTTTCCCAGACTGCAAGTTTGAGATGCAGAAAACCAGTTCTGCCATTGAGTGGTTTCACCAAGGCTGAACCTACACTCCAAAGCAGAACAATGGAAACACAGAAGGAGGCTTTCCTGCCAAAAGACAGCTTTGCTCCCTGATAACTCAGTGGCCTGGAGTATCATGGTCTCTGCTGGATCTAGCAGCCTGCTGTCCTCAAAGTGGGCGTGGAAGTCCTGTGACAAAGTATGCGTTTTACTTTTCCAGCCATTTTTATCTTCATTGCCACTAATCCAAGCCCTCTTGGATTCAGTACTTCTTTATCTAATCCCTTATTCCACTTTTACTCTGAAATTAAAAAAACTCTGGGGAAAAAAAGGAGAAAATATAAAACAAATCTTGCTACTCTTGGCTCCTGTCTCTCTTACTCTAGTGTCTCCCCAAAGTCAGCTGTGCCCCAGAGCTGTGTCCTGGGAGCAGGGCTGAGCAGCAGGAAGGAGACTGACCTGCCATCGCCTCCTTTTCTTGTGGGATGGGGCTGCCAGGGCCAGAGACTCTGGTGAGACAAGTTACTTTTAAGAAGGAAAAAAAAGGAGGACAAAGAAAGAACTAGAATAAAATCCCCATGGAAAAGGAAGACTTTATTCAAGCTTTTCTGTCTTGCATACCTTGGAGTCTGTCCTGCAGTGGAAAATCACCATTATACTGAACACAATTTCATCACTCACTTCTGCTTTTGATGAAAACTCATTCATGGTGAGTTTTATTCTGCACCAGTATTTATGCATGTGCTCAGGGAATGGGAAGGTTCCCCTTAACCAAATGAAATACTGTTCATGCCTCTAGACAGAGATTATGGATCATTGTAATTTCTATCTCCCAGCAGAGGACCTGAGACTGTGAATTTGTCTGCAGCCTTAGGTATTTTCTACACCAGCTCTGTGAGGGTGAGCAATGAGCAATGCTGCTCCTTAATCACAATCTGTGCTGCTCTGACTGGAAACTCAGGCTGGTTCTCAGGCCAAGATGCTGACAAATCTCCTTCTCTAACACAAGCAGCAGGAGCCTGGCTCCATGGACACAGGTGAACCTTGCCACCCTCTCCCCTGTATCTGGGGCTTACTGGAGGAATGGTGCATGTCCTTGCTCTGGATTCCAGTTAGTCAGTGACACTGCCATGTGTAAATCTTATTCCTACAGTGCTGATGGATTTATTTTCTGAGGATTAGAAAGGGCATTTTTATCATCTGAATTGCATGAGCCAGCAATAAAATTCACTGGAATATAGTGCCTCTATAAATATTTCATAGAGATATGCCAAGTACTATAAATTGTTTAATAGGCTGCTCCCAAGCACCATGGAAGCACGGTGCACACCAAAGGCCTAGGAATGGTCCAAAGTCTAGGAGGATCTGCCTGTCCCACCTGTTGGGAAGAAAATACACTAAAAATCTTGCTCAGACATGGTGCTTACCAGCATGTCAAGTCTCCATGACAGCTCTGAATTTTCACAGCATGCAATCTGGGCAGAATGTCAGAAAGAGTAGAAAAAACCCTTCATATTTATGGCTGAGACATTTCTGGGGCTTGGGAAGCCTTCTTCTCCACGTTGAGTGAGGCTGACCAGGGATGGCACAGGGCAGGGCAGTGGTATGCATGAGGCTCAGAGAGCAGCTGTACCAAGAGCTGCTTCACACCCTCCACAGCCTCTCACATCTGCTCACCCCCATCCCTCACCACACCCTCCAAAAATGACCTCTGTGGCTGCCCCCTCTCCCCCTGCTGAGCAGATGTGGTTTTTATGCAGCAGATGTTGCTGCATACTTGGTACTCAGCACAGGAAGTGAGAATCATTTCTAAAAATAAAAATACAACAAGCAGCCTGTTTTGGAGCCTATTGCAAATGTTTATATAAAAGTCCACTTTTTATTTAAAGACATGGAATTTGAAGGCCATACTCTTAAAAAATGGTGTTCCAGGTGCTATGCAGTGACCTGCGGCTAAAAAACACATCTAAGCAGCCTGTCCACACCAAAGCATCTCAGAAATTTCTAGAAAGGCTCACTTGCAGTCCACGACAGATGGTGCAAAGGTTCTCTCCTAATCCTCTCTGTGGTATGTTACATTTAATTCAGGAAATCCACACAGATCCCTTGGAGTGACAACAGAAGTTCTGTTCATTTGCACAGAGGCCATTGCAGTGGGTCCTGAGCTCCCCAAAGCTTCTGATGTTTCAGTAAAATAGCATCCATTTCAATAATCTTAGCCAAGTTTGCAAACCTCGAGCAGACTTTCTTACCTGCAAAGGGGAAGAGATAAGAAGTCCTTTTTCCCAGCCAGGCTTTCAATTTTCTCAGCTGAAAAGCAAACAGTTCTGGTCAAGAAATGCCTCCTTGGGACTGGAAAAAACACAGTAAGAACAAACGGAGCTGGGACCAGATTTGGTTTGATCCAATTTTCAGTTTCTTCCATTTTGTTTCCCCACAAGGGAAGGTAAAGGTTCGCTGTGGGCACACCACCTCAGCCCACGGATGCTTTGCTGGTGTGTTACACAGGGAAGAAGTGTGGACTTTGCAGTCCAAAACTCAGCCTGCGGAGAGCAATGGGCAGCATAATGTCAGGTTTGCTGGGCTGTGTCAGAAGAGCCCATCAGAGGATGAAGGTGGCAGCCCTGTGTCCCCTGAAGCTGGTCACACTGCCTGGGAAGGAGGCAGGAGTGGGGACCGTGGGGAATGTCCATAGGAGGACATTCCCTGGCTCCCACCAGCACAAATACACCATAGGATGTGACACCCAGTGTTTACCTGATTTAGAGGGTAGCCAAATGAAAGACAGGGTATGGCTTAACCTAATCATGGCTCGATATCATGCTTCATATTTCTGAAACATCCATGCTACAGGAACAAGCTGTTAAGGATTGCAGCTACTGGAAAACAGCTATTTAATTCCATATTGATATTTCATGTTTATTGCTTTTCCCCAGCTACCTTTGTGCAGGGAACAAACTTTTGTTCTTATAAATTACTATTCCATCACTAATTACACAGTGATCAGTTAGTTATAATAGAAGGGGTTTTGTGATAAAGATGAGACCCAGAAGTGATTATAAAGCATACATAAGGTTTATGTGATATGAAGAGCTTCACAGGTATCTCATTACACATATTTTGTTCAGGAGTGATTAATAACATTATTCATTTTCTAAGCCTTTTTCATTGTTTTGTGGAATATAGCCCAGGCATTTTCAAATTTCTCATGTCTTAGTTACTTATAGGAACTTTTTATACTGATGTTAAGTTTCTGTATTTATTTCTGAACTTGAAAAAAAATAGCTCCAAATTTTAACTCATCAAGTAGTTCTTACGGGAATCAAGAAATTAATTAAACTAAGCAAAATAAAGAACAGAATCATAGAATCATTAAGGTTAGAAAAGACCTCCAAGATCATCAAGTCCAACCAGGCAAGAGCTGTCTTCAAGCTAGAATCAGTTTCCTAACTTGCACTTAGCACTTGAAGACACTCTTGAATTAAAACAGTTCCCCAGATCCCCTTGCCAGTTCTCTCTCTTACTGATCACGTGCTCTCAAGGAACAGGTACATGTTCATTCCTTACTATGCTGCCATACAGTTGCTACAGCAGATTTTCCTTCAGGTGATGGACCAGCAAGGGAAGACCACATCCACAGCCTTTTAGGAGGAGGTAAAGTCCCAGGTTCCATATCCCTGTTGTTGAAAGATGCATATTGCAGATAAAATGTGGGTATGTTTCACTGTTTAAAAGTGTTACGTTGGTCTCTTAGCATCAGACCATGACCAGGCTTCATGAACTGCAGGGCTGGAGCAGTGGCTCTGGATAGGGAACACTGGATCCTCCAAAGAATCAGCAACCAGTGGTTGCTCTTATGTTCACTGTGATCCTAGCTCCTTTTCTAACTTCCTCCTAGTTCCTTTTCTGCCGAAAGAAACTGTCTTGACCCACAAAGACCTTTTCTTCCTTATTCCTGTCAGCTTTGTTTTTCTTTGCAATACTGCTGAGAGGTCATTCAAATTGTAATCTCATGTCCCAGAGGTTTTGTCCGTGATATTTTCATGTTCCTTTTCTCTTTGTTTTGTTGTTTGTTTGGGTTTTTTTGGCCTAAGATAAAGGAGAGAGAAAACAGAACAAGTCACTGCTGCATAAACTCCAGTCTCCATAGCAACAATGAGAATTTTACAATTTTACGGTTTTACAATTCCAATCCTATAGTCTCACCTGATGCTTGGGAGAGTGGGATGAGGTTAAAATATTTTCTAACTTACTTGTTCATTGCAGTTTTAAAAGCAGGCAACTGGGGCGAGTAACATAGGCCAAATTAGACCCAAAAGCTTTCCTGAGATCTGGGGTGTGAGGCAGGGGCTTGGGAAGGGCAGGTAGGAAGTACTGGATTTACCTCTGTAGGACTTGTATGCAGTAAAGTACACTGCTGTAACACAAACTGCCTACAACAAAGAAAGCAATGGAGAAGGGAAAATGTTAACACTAAGCAGTGCTGGTCTTCCTCTGACCATTCCACTACTGCGGGATGTGCAGATGTGTGTGCCACACTCCTGTCCACACCACAGCAACGTGTCTGTGACACACCATTAGGCATCCGAGTTGTTTGTGGAGAGGTGTTGATTTCCCCTCTCTCAGTCTGAGCTAAGTTCCCCCAAGTGAAATCAGCAACCAACAGCATGACTGGTGCTGTGCTGGCCACTCTCTCTGGTGACCAGTGAGAGGACCTAAGGGATTGGCATGAAACTGTTCCAGGGAGGTTTAGGCTGGGTATTAGAAAAAGGATCTTCACTCAGAAGGTGGCTGGGCACTGGAACAGGCTCTGCAGGGAAGTGGTCACAGCACAAAGCCTGACAGAGTTCAACAAGCATTTGAACAACACTCTTGGGCACATGGTGTGATTTTTGTGGCTGTCCTGTATGGGGAGTTGGACTTGATGATCCTTGTGAGTCACTTCCAACTGAAGTGATTTTGTGACTGGAAGGACAAAAGCAGGCTGAAATACAGATGCACCTAAACAAACCTTACTGCACATAAAAATGCCCTTAATTTCTTTTCCAAGCTGATCTTTCAACTGACAATGTTAATTTGGAACAGCTGAACTGGACAGGAATGGTGTAATTTAACTCAGAAGGAAAAAACAAAGCAGTGTAGTTCAGTTTCATAATTTGTAAAGAAAAGCCACAAATGCATTTTCCTTTTTACTGTACCTGAGTGTAAGTTCTGGGAGCACTGTACAAGACCATCTTAAGCTTACCATCATACTTAGGACAAGTCCATTTTCCCACTACTTAGTAGTATGTGCTCACATTATAAATTGAATAGGATGGAGTTCTCAAATCAGTTTTAACTATTTGATTAACTAGAGGTTTTTTTTCAGCTTTGAAAATTTATTTTAATTTACTGGATTATAATCAAAGTTGGCTTCATTGATAACAGCATAATATTTTTAATATGTACTCAAGTAGTCTGCTCTGGCAGGCTTTCTGTGCTACAGATTCTGTACATTATTCCACCACAGCAAAGCAAAGTGAAATTCTGCCTTTGATACAACCCCAACAGGGGAATTTCCATCTGACATCAGATTCCTCTGCATGTTTTATTTGTTTTGCTATTAATCTCACAGGATAAACACATATCATTGTTTCAGATTCTGTACTTGTGTTTTCTCCAGCCCAAACCAGAAATAGGAACCTTTGGGGGGGAAAACTGGTAAATGTGCTCATTTGTTTAACACAAATTTCACTTCAACCCTCAAGGAACGTAACTGGCATAAACCAGAACGCTCATCACTGATAGAAGTTGTGTTCCAAGTGATGGTGTTTCAACAAACAACTTATTAAGGACTTTACAGTCGTAATAAGCACTTAAAACAAGTTGATAAATACTCAGTAACTAAACTTCATTTTATTAAAAAAAGGATTCTTCCTTGTTTATACTTCAAGTACTAGCTTTGAAATGGTTACGGAGATTAAACACTGAACTCCCCAGACACACATATCAGTTGTGCAGGATCATGTATCCTGTAAATGAGCTTGTTGAAATACCTGACATTTCCTCATAACACACTGTTAAAAGTAGCAAAACCATTTAGTTCTTATGCACTGAATTTATGCACTCACTTATAGCTCTCAACTTCAATGAACAAAGAATACTTTGTATATACATACGTAAAGGTTGCATCTAAATAAAATTTGGTTCTGTGATCTACATGTAGCCTACCTGGTAGACAGAGCATTGGAAAAGCTGGAAGGACTCAGCATTGTCAAAGCTGTTCCCAGAGCAGAGCTGTGGCCACTGAAACAGCTCCTACCAAAACCAGTGGTTTTGCAGCAGGTGGTGCATAACCTCTATGAATAAAACCAGATCATTTACAAGTGCAAATGTTATCACTTCTAACACTTTTTAATTTGTGTCAGTCTTTGAAGCCAAATTCCTGATGTGGCTCTGTTACCATCATATTTTCTGGAAAAATCTCCTTGCCCAGGATTTTTCTCCTGGGAAGCTGAGAAGCCTCAGAGAAAAATGAAAACAATAATTATTTTATTTGCTTCTCCTGTGTTTTGCTGCTGTGGAATGTGTTTGGACATTGTTTACCAACAGGTGGTTGTTTCATGGGTTTCATGCGAATTGTTTTAACTTAATGACCAATCACTGTCAAGCTGTGTCAGGACTCTGAAAGGAGTCACAAGTTTTTCATTAGTATCTTTCTAGATTTCTGTCTGTATCCTTTTGGTATTCTTTAGTATAGTTTTAGTATAGCATTCCTTAATATAATGTAATAGCATAAAATAATAAATTAGCCTTCTAAGAACATGGAGTCAGATTCCTTCCTTTCCTCACCTTTGTTGGGGCACCCAGCAAATAGAAGATGGCTCCACAGGGAAGACCCCTCCACACACCATTGTCTTAGATTACAATGTGAGATGTAACCAAAAGTATGCATTCCATTACCATCTTCATAAACTGCTAAAATAGGTGGGGCAGTATTCTTTAACTTTTCCATGACTCATCCCTGATAACTCCCTCTGGGGGGCTATCTCTGCTAATGGGCCGTCCAGTCTCATGACTCATAAAATTATATCTGCATGACTCATAAAATTATAGCATCCCACTGTGAGATGTCCCACCCAGGGGAGGAACCAGACATTCCTACCTGGATATAATCTGAGGCTTGGAACACCACAGTGGCACTACCACTGGATTCCCAGTGAACAAGAGCACGATACCCACTCCTGGACCTCAAGAGATAAAGACCAGATTGTTCTACAGGATCACCATTTTGCAAAGACACATCCATCACTCCAACAGGACTGTAGCCA